CCAAACCTGTTATTTAGAAAAAAATATTTTGTTTTCATTCTTCTTTTGTAAAATTAAATTCAGATTTTTTCTTTTACAAAATAAAATTATAAATATAAAAACTTTTAGACCAAAAAGAAGTAAAAAAATAAAAATAAAATAAGAAATGAGTATTTACAACTATTAGACCAATCTTCTTAGGTACAACATGTATAGGATTTACCCACTCATTCTGTGAGATCAGGTATATCATGCCAAAAGCTAATGATTTGTCCCACTTCTTTCTTCACCACCTCTACGAGGGTGGGATTCAAGCTTTTCTAGGATTGTCTCACTTCTTTGGCATCTGCATCTAGCCAGATTTTGTACATACATGTGGATGGACTAATTAATCCCTGAAATGTCTGCTAAAGTTCACCCAATCGCTTATTTATTGGTTGCTAAAGTTTGCAGCAACTTTTCCTCTTGTGTAGCATCCAAATCTGTTGAAGTAATCATAAGTAGAGGCTTCAATTCAAGTGTAGGTGACTTACAGAAGAGGGAGGGATGTCTTGGTATAGAAATCAATTATTCAACATATGTCTAGGCAAATTCAAGGGTATGTGTACTCGCTGTAATCAAATGAACCTTCAACTAAAAACTCCTTGGACAGAAGCTTGTTACTTACAATCTTGAAGAAGGGACAACAATCTGAAGTGTACTCTATGAAGGAACAAATCCAATAGTCTCTTGCTATCCCTTTTTGTGGAGCAGCTTGTTGCGCAAGCTGACTCACAAATGTAGTTAGCTTCTCAATTTTTCTCTCACTCTATTGCTTTCAACTACCATGGCTTTTGTGTCAAACTGCTGAGAGTTCTTTACCATGTTATCAATCAATGCTCTGATTGCAGTTAGTGTCTTATTCATCAGAGCTCAACAATTGGCCACATCAAGCATACTTCTCTCATTTGGGGCAAGACCTTCATAGAAATACTAGCTGAGCAATGGATCACTGATCTTATAGTGTGGACAGGTTGCACACAACGTTTTGAATCTCTCCTAATACTCATATAGGCTCTTTTAACTGTCATATGCCACTGATCTCCTTTCTGATTGTTGTTGCTCTGGATGTAGGGAAGAAGTTTTCAAGGTAAATTATCTTAAGGTCTATCCAACAAGTGACTAAGCCTGACTACAGGTAGTAAATTAGTCCTACGTTGCACCATCCAAGGAGAATGGGAATGCTTTTAGCTTGATGTGATCTTCAGGAACTTCTTGAGGTGTTATTGTTGAGCAAACAGTAACACTTTGATTTAATTTTCCAAATAAATGAATTTTGCAATAAATGAGAATAATAAAAATGTTCATTCAAATGATTCCAAATACATAGTTCAATAAAGTGTTTCAAAATAAGGATGGATTATAAGTTTATATCAAATGATTGCTACAGGACTAATTTAAATACATCAAAGTTTTCAAAATAACTTTCTAAGTCCTATAACAGTTTGATCCACCCCTTCACTGAGTTCGGTGTTGATCGTCTTGGTCACCTGAAAAATAAACGTAAGGGTGAGTACTCTACACTATTAAACACACACAAGCATAGAGACTCAACGTGCATGCTTCCACACATTTCTAATATAATTCAAATCACTTATCAGTAACCACAAAGCAATAATTTCAATATTCCATCCTCATTCATACACAGGTGTGCTCGCTGCACGTTAGTCACGCTCACTGTGGCACTGTGATCATAGATTCCTAATGCCCTCAACCTCAGGGACTTACTCAGTTCACACCATAGATAGTCGCCAGATAGCCCCCGCTCCACGGATACAACGTGTGCTATGTTGGGCCTCCCAAGCAAAGGTGTTAGTTAGAGGCCGAGTCAGGGGGAGAGTGTGTGGCCTGTGGTGCACCCATGCTCACTGTTGGTGTCACCACCACCATCTCTTTCCTAAGATATTTCTACCGTCCTATCTTCCATACCCTAGTGTATCACTGAACCATTCATAGTTTTCAACCATTTCAAACACATTCACATTCACAATTCATCATGCCTTCCACACACACATTTCATTTATCTCATATTATTCATTTTCAATCAAAGGCACATACACCCATATTCCACCACACAATATTCAATCGCAGTTTTTATCACAATCTCCTTACAATTGATGAATCCATATTTTGACTCATATTTTAGTGTAATTCTAACCCATTTGATAAGGAAAATATGTAAGAAACAACAGAAAAACTAGAAAATAGAATGACTGAAGGTTTTCTTTTATTATGTAGTTAGCTTAACATTTGTGAAATTTATGCTTGTTTTTGTAGGAATAATCTGAGCAAGGTTTATGGAAATGGAATATCAATGGAGAGGAAGAGGAAGAATGGCAGTTCTAGACTCCAAAACATAAGAACAATGGAATGCAGGCTGGGCATGATCACTATTGTCAATGAAAGTGATCACTCCAGAGCTCAAGGAAAAAGTGAAGTCTGGGCGTAACCACTTTTACCAGCAAAAGTGAGTGTTGCAAAGAAGCCCCAGACTCAGCATTCTCTGCGTAACCACTTTTATCAGCAAAAGTGAGCATTCTAGAGAAGGAAAAATTTCAGAGTATTCTGTGTAACCACTTTTATCATTGAAAGTGGATGTTCCAGAGAGCCCTCAACTTGACAAGTTGTGCGTGACCACTTTTACTCATAAAAGTGATTATGCACAACATCTTGACCTTCAGCGTTGCAACTCTTAGCAACGAAAGTGATAGTTCTAGTTTTCAGAAACCACATGAGTGTCTGCGTGGCCACTCTTATAGTAAGAGTGACAACGTACAGAATCAGGATTTCTATAAATACATGTCTTAAGCTCAGAACTCGGGGTCTTTTGTTCATTTTCTGTTTTTTTTTTGTTAAATTCTCGTTGGGAGAGAGTGAGAGAGAGGACTGGGGTTCAACCTCGAAGCTTCAAGAAGAGGCATTGGATTGGAGCTTGTGGCTATGGCTTTTCAGAGTTTCTTCTCTTCTTCTCCTTCTTTCTCTTTCCCTGTCACAATGTCTGTGTAATTCTTTGTAGTTAGGAGTTTATGGACCTCAAATTGAAGTATTGATTTGATTCTTGCTTCTGAAATTTGAGTTTTTGGATTAATTGAGTTGACAATTCTGCACCTTACGTAATCTTTGAATGGGAATTCATTTAATTAATCAAAGAGGAACATTTGCCAATGGGAATTGGATTTGATTCTCTGATCTGAATTAACAACCAGAATTAGGGGTTTCTTAGGAATAAGTACACTTAATTCTGTAATCCTACGGTTCTAAGTCTTAATGCAACATGAAATTGAACTTCACCTAAGGGATTAGGGGGGATTAGTGGATTGTTAGGGTCAATGAGTTAAGGGATTAACCTTTGACTAGTTATATGTGAAACTGATTGTCAGTTAACCAATTGTTTGAATATTCTGAAGTATAATTGAATCAATATTGACATTCTTGTGAAGTAAAGTCCTAACTATTCTTCATTCCTATCTCATTTTGTCACAACTTTCATACTTTGTTTTTACTGCAAGTTTAATTCTTTGTATTGTTCAGGTTCATTGCTTTCATATGTTACATCCTTTCCAAATTTGTATGACTCAACTAGTTTTTGCTCTGTGAATTGGTAATTGAATTCTTAATTCCCTGTGGAGACGGTACATAGATCTTAAATTTACTCATTACTTGCTGCAATTCCTAGTGCATTTGCTAGTGTTTAGAGAATTTTAACAATAAGTTTTTGGCACCGTTGCCGGGGAGTTTGAGTTTCAATATCATTAGTAACAGAAAAATTGCTAGATTGAGTACTTGTTTTCTTAAATTTTCTCTGTAGTTAGTATTACATTCAAGTTACTCTGTTCTTATTTTAATAGATAAGTGTAGGATGCTAGTAGATAATTTTTGCACGATTCTGCAGTTTTGCATAATTCTGCAGTTGTTAGACTGGACTTTGATATGATTTTGCTGATATTTTTCTGCATAATCTTTGTTAGTGTATATCTTACTATTAAATTTTAGTTTAACTTGTTAGTTTTGATTTATATATGCGAAGGAAAAACAAAAATAAAGCCACTTTGGTATTTGATCCAGACATGGACCAAACTCTAAGAAGGTTAAGAAGTGAAGCAAGATTTAAGCAAATTCAAAGAGAGGAACACGAAAGTTCTACACCACCTCAAACCAGTCAGATTCCAAGACAAATAAAGATGGGAGAACAACCAAGAATGAGAACACTAGGGAACTATGCAGTTCCTAATCTTCAGGGATTTAGTTCTTTTATTCTGAGACCTACAATTCAGTGCAACCCCTTTGAGATAAAACTTGCACTTCTAAATCTGGTACAACAAGACCAATTTGCTGGAGGTCATTCAGAAGATCCAAATCTGCACATCTCCAAATTCTTGCAACTTTGTGACACAATCAGAATCAATGGGGTAAGTGAGGATGCAATCAGACTTAGATTATTCCCAATCTCATTGAGGGATAAAGCCAAGTGCTGGCTTCAAGCCCAGCCACAAGGGAGTATATCAACATGGGCTGATTTGGTGAACAAGTTCCTAATCAAGTATTTTCCCCTTTCAAAAGCTACAAAAATCAGAGGGGAGATTACATCTTTCGTTCAGCAAGATGGAGAGCCTTTGTATAAGACATGGGAAAGATGCAAGGAGTTATTGAGGAAGTGTCCCCATCACTGCATACCTAAATGGATGCAGCTTGAAACATTTTACAATGGAATAACTGCAGCAACTAAAACCATGATAGATGCAACAGCTGGTGGTTTATTGAGTTCAAAGACTTTGGAAGAAGCCCAGCAAATCATAGAAATGATTGCATCTTCGATGTATCAGAATATAAATGAAAGACAAGTTTCAAGGAGAGGAGGATATGATGTAAAATCCATAGAAGCCATGTTTGCTCAAAATCAACTTTAGAATCAACAATTTTCTGAACAGCTTGCTGCCTTGACTCAACAAATAAGTAACATGCAAACTGGTGTGGTTCAAAATTCACAACTGAGTTGTGATTTCTGTGGTGGCAACCATGTGAATGGAGCTTGTGATCCCACAGTTATAGAACAACCTGATCAAGTCAATTATATGGGCAATTATCAAAGGCCACAGCAACCATATCCACCTGGTTTCCAGCTAAATAACAATAGAGGATAGCAGTTTTCTAAGTGGAATCCACAGAATTCTACTACAAGAGGAAATACAGCTACTGCACCATTCCAAAGTGTAGCTCCTCAAGTCCAACAACAATATTTTCAAAGAAGTTCTTCTGCACAATTTCAAAAAAATCGAGGGTATTCAAATTCAAGACCATTGAGTGAGAAAGTGAATGGAATTGAAGAGACACTACTGTAGTTTATGAAGGTGACAGAAAATAATTTCAAAAATCAAGAAAGTTCTATAAAGAAATTAGAAACACAAATTGGGCAATTGGCTGAGCAACTTGCAAATAGAGATGAAGAAAGGTTCTCTAGTAGCACAATAGTGAATCCAAAGGAGTAATGCCAAGCCATAACCACTGGAAGTGGGGAAGTGGTTTCTAGCCCAAGAAAGAAAAATGAAGTCACAAATTCGAATGAGGAAAGTGAGCTGAAAAAAGAAGATTTTGAAAGTGGGAAATATACTATGTTGAAGAGGGGAGTGTTGTTGACAATCTAAACACTAGCAGCAAGTAATGAGTAATTTCTAAGAACAGGATATCATCTCCACACGGAATTTAGATTTCAAGTATCAATTCACAGAGTTGTAACCATTTGAGCCATACGAATTTGGAAGGAGAGTTGTAACATACAAAAGCAGTAAACCAAAGCAATTAAGAGTATAGAAAAACTTGCAGAAAAACAGATCAATGAATGAAATGTGAGATTAGAAATGGATTGAAAGATAGTTAGAAATTTATTTCACAAGCATATCAATATTAATTGAATGATACCTCTGAACATTTAAGCACTTAGTTAATTGCCAATCAGTTTCTCTTATCAATAGTCAAGTTTAATTCCTTAAATCATTGACCCTAACGTTAAACTGAAACTCTCTAATCCCTTAGGTGAAATTCAATTACACATTGCATTAAGACTTAGAACTAAAGATTGCAGAATTAAGTTTCCTTATCCCTAAGAGATTCCTAATTCTGGTTGCTGATTCATATCAGAAAAGCAAGTCCAATTCCCATTGGTAAAGGTTTCTCATTGATTAATCAATTGAATTTCCATTCAAAGATTATGTAAAGTGCAGAATTAGCAACTCAATTAAGCAAAGAACTCAAAGTTCAGAAGTAAAAGTAGAATTAATACATTAATACAAGTTCCATAAATCCCTAACTACAAGGAACTACTCAGACATGGAAGAAGAGAAAGAGAAAGAAGAAGAAGAAGAAGAAAAACTCAAGGAAGCCATAGCCGTGAGCTCCAATCCGATTCCTCTTTTTGGCAGCTTTGAGACTTGACCCCAATCTTCTCTCTCACTCTCTCTCAACGACCATCTAACAGAAATACGGGAAAATGAACCGAACTCCAAACCAAATCTAAGCGTTCTGGTATTTATAGAAATTTCCAAGTTTGAGCGTTGCCACTTTTCTCCATAATAGTAGCCACGCAGAGTCTCGAGTTGTTGTGCGTTAACACTTTTATGAGAAAAAGTGGTTATGCGCACTTTGCTGAGTTGAGAACTCTCTGGAATGCTCACTCTTGCTGGTAAAAGTGTCAACGCAGAGCTCAAGTGGTTGTGCGTTATTGCTTTTATGAGGAAAAGTGACTACGCGCAACTCGCCAAGTTGAAGGCTCTCTGGAACTATCACTTTGAATGATAATAGTTGCTACACAGAGCTTTCCTGATATTTTCACTCTCTGAAACGATCACTTTTACTGATAAGAGTGGTAACATAGAGCATTCTGAAACTTTGCCTTCTTTGGAACTATCACTCTTGCTAAAAAAGTGATTACGCCCAAGCTGTACTTCATCTTTGAGCTCTGGAGTGATCACTTTTACTGATAATAGTGATCACGCCTAGCCTGTATTCCTCATTCCTTGTGTTTTGAGCCCAGCCATGCTACTCTAGCTTTTCCTTTCCATTATATTTCTATTTTCATGAACCTTGCTCAGATTATTCCTACAAAAACGAGATTAAAACTTAATTTCTAAGCAGAATTACACAATTTGCTAAGATAACTACAAATTGAAATAAAACTCAAATTTATTATATTTTTCTGAGTTTTTCTACTTTTCTCATGTGTTTTTCTTATCAATTTAGTTAGAATTATGCTAAAATATCAGTAAAAACATGGATTCATCAGGGAGAAGAAGAATAAAAGTGCAGTAAAAAGCAAGAAAAGAGGGGCAAGAAGCAGAGATTTAAGCAGGCCTGCAAACCTATTAATAAAGAGCAGTACAAGAGATTACTTTTTTCAAAAGGAGTACAAGATCCTAGACAAGAAAAGTAGTTTGAAAGGTTCATTGATGTGTTCAACAGGCTCCAAATTAATATACCATTTGCAGAGGCATTAGAACAAATGCCTTTATATGCAAAGTTTATGAAAGAGCTCTTGTCTAAAAAGAGGAAGCTGGACATGGAAAAATTGGTACCACTCACTGAAGAGTGCAGTGCCATTTTGTAGAGAAAACTGCCTCAAAAGTTGAAGGATTCAGGGTCATTTAGCATACCCTGCTCTATTGGAAACTGCACAATAGGAAAAGCTCTTTGTGACTTGGGACCAAGCATAAATTTAATGTCACGACCCCTTTTTGTAAGGAACCCAGAACATTGTTTATACATCACATACTTATTTAAGATAAATAAATAATAGAGAATATAAGTATGAAATTCTCTTCTCAATTAAAATAAAACAAAGTTTCTTACAACAAATATCCAACAGAACAACATAATATTACATTTAGTTCATAATATTCAAAATACCCAAAATTATACTATATAGTTCCCTCTACATGAGGTCTCAAAATATAAGGGAAAAAGGACTTTGATGAAATATTACTCGACCCCAGCTTCTAACATTTCTTCACTGGCCCCTTAGCCTGTGAAGTAGATGCAACACCTGCTACATCTGCTCACGTACCACCGTACAATCATCGCAGTACACACGAACACAACGACATAGAAAGAAATGCAATGGTGAGCTTACCAAACTTAAAATAAAATCATATATATAGAGCAAAATATTTCTCACAGCAATAATCCCATGCATTTCCAGCCCATCTAATGCACAGCATGAAAACGGTTTCCAACTGCTTTCACAGCCTAAGTAATCCAGAAGGAACCGAGCCGGTCCGGGAGTGACCCATTCCGGTATCTGGATCCAGACAGCACAGCACAGCACAGCAGCTCAGCATGAACTTACTGTTACATGTCTACCCACCTAAACATGTAACTCGGCTCTATAATGATGCAAAACATATCTTAGCATGATGCACACCGCCAAAATTATTTTAACAGCTCAACTAAGGCAAGTTTATAGTAGATCAGCCAAAATCTCAGCATTTTAAATCAATTAACAGCAGTTACAGCTTCGAAAATAGCTTTTATTCAATAGATCTAACAAAATCATATTAAAACATCTTGAAATAGCATATTAAACCGTTCAAAACGTAGTTCATAGGTTAAAGTAAACTCCCCTTACCTCAGAAAGATGATTCACACTAGATCTATCGAATATTACTTGTTTTAATGCAAAATTTACCGAAGATTCAGTTTTAGAATGAAATTTCTCCTAAGAACACCATGAACTTCTATGACAAAGAGAAGGAGAAGAGAAACGAACGGTAAATCTAGCTTCAAACTTAAAGAAACTTACTTCAAATCCTTCAGAATAGACGTAGAATCTTTGATTTGATAAGAAATCTAAGTTTAGGAAGGTTTAGTATGAGAGAAATGGTGGTATTTGGCCTTAGAACCTTTGAGAACCTTGGATAATTTCATGTGAAGCCCCCTTTTTATAGAAAATTTTTGGAATTTACTGTTCATCGCCGGAAACATTGTTCACCGCCTTACTGTTCACGCCGGAAACACTGTTCAGGGCACTATTCACGCCGGAAAACACTGTGCACGCGTACTGTACACGCACTGTACGCGTATGTGACGTTATGATGATGCACTGATGACGTCAGCAGTCACTGTACATATGCGGTTTTTACTGTTCATACACGGTTTGTACGCGGTTTGCACTATTCATAGGTGGTTTTATTGTTCATCTGACACTGTTCATACAGTACCGTTCATTATTTATTTATTTATTTATTTATTTATTTTTAATTTTTTTATTTTTTTTAAAAATAATTTCAAACTCCATCTAAATCTATTCCAATACCAAATAATCCTTCAATTAACATTGAACAAGTATAAAATATTATAGATTACTCAATAATAAATCTCTAGCCTGACAATTCTCCCCCTGAAAATAAATTTTTGTCCTCGAAAATTTTATCCTTCAGAGAAAAGATGAGGGTACAACTTTCTCATTCTTTCCTCTAATTCCCATGTGGCATCACCAGTTACTGGATCCCAAATAACCTTTACTAACCGAATAGACTTGCCTCTAAGTTCCTTAACTCTAGTATCCTCAATACGAGCAGCTGGAACCTCTGTAGATAAATCATCTCTTAACTTCACAACATCAGGCTCGATTACATGAGACGTATCAGGAACATACTTTCTTAACTGCGACACATGGAAAACATTATGTAGTCCTGACAACTGAGGTGGTAGCACTAATTCATAGGCTACTGGTCCTCTACGATGTAATATCTGATATGGTCCTATGAATTTAGGTGTTAACTTCTTAGCTCTTAAAGCTCACCCCACACCTGTAGTGTGTGATACTCTCAAGAATACGTGATCACCAACCTCAAATTCTAGAGGTCTTCTGCGTTAGTCAGCATAAGATTTCTGTCGACTCTGGGTAGCTCTAAGCTTTTCTCTAATAAGTTCAACTTTCTCCTTAGTTTCTTGCAGCATTTCAGGTCCAACCATCAAATGTACTCCATCTTGGAACCAACAGATAGGGGTTCTACACCTTCTACCATACAGAGCTTCAAATGGTGCCATATCTATACTCGAATGGTAGCTATTATTATAAGTGAATTCTACCAAAGGAAGTATATCCTCCCAATTACTCTTCTGCTCTACAATACAAGTCCGCAATAAATCCTCTAAGGTCTGAATAATACGCTCAGATTAACCATCTGTCTGCGGATGATATGCAGAACTCAACCTCAACTGTGTGCCCATAGCTTCTTCGAAACTCTGCCAAAACTGGGAAGTGAATCGAGGATCCCTATCAGAGATAATACTAGAAGGTACTCCGTGTAACCTGACAATCTCTCTAATGTACAATTCTGCTAATTTCTCCAAGCTAAAGGTCATGTTAATTGGCAAGAAATATGCACTCTTGGTTAGCCTATCAACTGTGACCCACACGGCATCATGATTTTTAACTGTTCTAGGTAGATAGGACACAAAGTCCATAGTCACATGGTCCCACTTCCACTCTGGAATTTCCATTGTCTGCAACTCTCCTGGAGGGCTTTAGTGCTCCGCCTTTGCCTTCTGGCAAGTCAAACAAGCTTTAACAAATTCAGCTATCTCTCGCTTCATGCCTGGCCACCAAAACATCTACTTTAGATCTTGATACATCTTGGTAACACCAGGATGAATGTTGAGATTACCCTTATGTCCTTCTTCTAGAATTGCTTTCTTTAATTCAGTATCTCTAGGGACACAAACTCAACCTTGGCATCTGAGAATACCATCAGCACCTTTACTAAAACCCTTTGCTTTATCTGTCCCTAAGAGAAATACAATCCGACATAACATCGGATCCCACAAGTGTTTGTCTTTAATTTCCTGTAAGAAATTATTAGTTACCACAATTCGGCTACAACTAATCTTTTCAGGTGATAAGTCTACATGTATGTTCAGGTCTTGGAATTGTTCTACCAAAAGAGTTTCACTAACTCTTAAGGAGAATGCCTGAACCACATTCCTACTTAATGCATCGGCCACCACGTTAGATTTTCCTCGATGGTATTGGAGCTGAAAATCATAATCTTTAAGGAATTTCACCCAACGTCTTTGCCTCATATTTAACTCTCGCTGATCAAATAAATACTTCAGACTCTTGTGATCACTATACACATCAAACTGAGCTCTATAAAGATAGTGCCGCCACACCTTCAAAGCAAAGACTACAGCAGCTAACTCAAGATCATGGATCGGGTAATTTCGCTCATGAGTTCGCAATTGGCGAGATGCATAAGCTACCACTCTCTTTTCCTGCATTAACACACATCCCAATCCCTGATGGGAAGCATCACAGTACACCTTGAACGGTCGATTAGTATCAGGGAGAATCAACACCAGTGAGGAAGTTAATCTCTGCTTCAACTCATTAAAGCTTTGTTCACATTCCTCAGTCCATAAAAAGGGTTGATCACGGCGAGTTAACCGTGTTAATGGTGCAGCTATCTTCACAAATCCCTCTATAAATCTCCGGTAGTAGCCTGCTAGGCCCACAAAACTACGAATCTCTGTGGCTGTCTTAGGCCTTTCCCATTGCAACACTGCTTCAACTTTGTAAGGATCAACTGCAATTCCCTTAGCGGAAAAACATGACCAAGGAACTTCACTTCCTCTAGCCAAAACTCACACTTAGACAATGTAGCATACAATTGTTTCTCCCTTAAAACACTAAGTACAGTCCTTAAATGCTCTGCATGTTCCTCTGACGAACTAGAATAAATCAAAATATCATCAATAAAGACTACCACAAATCGATCCAGGAAAGGTCTAAAGATCTGATTCATGTAGTCCATAAACACAGCTGGAGCATTTGTGACTCCAAAGGGCATCACTATATACTCATAATGGCCATATCTAGTGCGAAAAGCAGTCTTAGGAATATCTTCATCCTTCACTCGGATCTGATGGTACCCAGACTTCAAATCAATCTTAGAGAATACCTTAGCACCTCTCAGCTGGTCCACCAAATCATCGATTCGCGGCAACGGGTACTTATTCTTAATTGTCAACTTATTCAACTTGCGATAATCAACACATAATCTAGAACTGCCGTCCTTCTTTTTCACCAAGAGAACTGGTGCTCCCCAAGGCGATACGCTCGGCCTAATCATCTGTTTCCGCATTAGATCCTCGATCTGCTCCTTAAGTTTCATCAACTCTTTCGGTGCCATTCTGTAAGGTGCTACAGACACTGGCTCAGCTCCAGGAATCAAATCTATAGAAAACTCCACCTCTCTACGTGGAGGTATTCCAGGAATATCCTCTGGAAAAATCTCAAGGAACTCTCGTACTACTGGTATTGACTGAAGGCTTTGCTCCACTTCTGCATTCATAACTCCCAACAAAACAAAACAAGATACTCCCTCACCTAAGGATGTTTCTACTTGGCGAGTAGAAATCAATTCTACACAGCCTTGCTGCTCAGGAAAGACTAAACACCTCCGGTCACAATCAATTAGCACACGATTGGCAGCTAGCCAATTCATACCCAAGATTACATCTAACCCTGACATCGGGATACAAATAAGATTTACTTTGTACTTTCGTCCCTCAATTACTATGAGGCACCTAACACAAACCGTTGAAGTCTTAATCGAACTTAAAGTAGGTGTCGATACTACCAATTCACATCCTAGATCGCTCACTGGTAACCCTAAGGTTCTCACACAAATGTCCGCAATAAAAGAGTGCGTGGCTCCAGAACCAAACAATACAGAAAGAGAAGTACCTGCCACTACCGCTGTCCCCTGGACAAGATCCGTTGCCTGAGCTGCCTCTGATGCAGAAGTAGTGAATACACGTCCCTCTGCTCTCGATCTGGTTGTCGTTGGAGCCCTAGTCGCTTTAGGCCTAACAGCGTGCAAGGCGCTAGCAGAAGATGAAACTGCCCCACTAGGCGTAGGACAGTCCCTAGCAAGATGCCCTGGCTGTTGGCACGAGAAGCAAACCCTGACATCAGCCTGTGGGCACTGGCTCAGGTAGTGTGGCCCACCACACCTGAAACATCTGACAATCTGCAGCACTGAGGCTCTAGGAGCAGAAGAAGTTGCTCCAGTAGGCTGAAATGCAGAAGTAACAGTCCCTATTGGCAGCGGGGCTGATGCTGCCGATCCTCTCTACTGAGATGGTCGAGATTGCTGTTGGCGTAGTGACCGACTGTAGGGGCCCTTCTTAGCACCCTTACTTCCATTACCATAGCTACTAGCACTCTACTAGATGGAGCCTTCCCAACTCCACCAACATCCTCTGCATTAAGACTCTCTATAATGGTGGCTTGATCCACCAAGTCAGCAAACTCCATGATCCTGAGTTGAATCAAAATCCTCTTTATGTCAGTTCTCAGCCAGTCTAAAAACCTTTGACATCTCCACTCCTCTGAGGTCGGGTGAGAATAAAATCTGTAAAGCCGCTCAAACTGTATTGCATACTCATAGACTGATGAGTTTCCTTGCACCAAGTTTAGAAACTCCCGCTCTTTGGCAGCACGAACATGGGAAGGGAAAAACTTTCCCAGAAAACTACTTCTAAATACAGCCCAAGTGATGACTTCACCTCGGGCTTCCAGCATAGCACGAGCTCTGTGCCACCACATATCTGCATCCCCTGTCAGCAAATAAGTAGCATATAACACCTTCCTCTCCTCGACGCAACCCATAGTTAGGAAGATCTTCTCAATCTCCCTGATCCAGAGTTCAGCAGCATCTGGTCCATCCACCCCCGTGAATTGAGGAGGATCATTCTTCCTAAACTCTGACAACCCATGGTATTCAGGAGGAGGTGCAGCTGAGGCAATAGTTGCTGCTGCCTGTGCTGTAGCAGCGGCTTGGTTTGCAGCTTGCTCCTGTTGAATCATATCTAAACTCTACCTAACAGTGGCTGCCATGGCCTCCATGGTGTGAGCCATTTGGTTCACGTCAGCAGGAGGAGGGTTTGCAGCAGATCTTCTTGGTCTAGCTATCCTAATATATAGACTAGCTTAGATTACTAACGTTTCACACATTCAGCAATACCACCACATAGCTATATTCACAGATTCAACTTACAGTGATATATTCATATTTAGTATATCATAACAATTTAATCAGTTTAGCACTGAGGATAACATCATATCAGCATTCACACAGCATAGCAAACACACTTATCTCAGCAATCATTTACAACTTAGCTCAACAGCCTCTTATTCATACAGTATGACTCACCTATAGCTCACCCCAGTACCATATACCAAAATTTCCTACATCTGTCATGTCTGAGAATCGAGGAGATCAAGCTCGTTCCCTTACAACCTGATGATTAGAAATTATGATATATGATTTACAGCTAAAATTCACATGTCTAATATGCACAACTAACGTCTAACAACCTCACCCCGTAGGTTTACCTAGACCATGCTCTGATACCACTAAAATGTCATGACCCATTTTTGTAAGGAATCGAGAACATTGTTTGTACATCACATACTTATTTAAGATAAATAAATAATAGAGAATATAAGTATGAAATTCTCTTCTCAATTAAAATAAAACAAAGTTTCTTACAACAAATATCCAACAGAACAACATAATATTACATTTAGTTCATAATATTCAAAATACCCAAAATTATACTATATAGTTCCCTCTATATGAGGTCTCAAAATATAAGGGGAAAAGGACTTTGATGAAATATTACTCGACCCCAGCTTCTAACATTTCTTCACTGGCCCCTCAGCCTGTGAAGTAGATGCAACACCTGCTACATCTGCTCACGTACCACCGTACGATCATCGCAGTACACACGCACACAACGACATAGAAAGAAATGCAAGGGTGAGCTTACCAAACATAAAATAAAATTATATATATAGAGCAAAATATTTCTCACAGCAATAATCCCATGCATTTCCAGCCCATCTAATACACAACATGAAAACAGTTTCCAACTGGTTTCACAGCCTAAGTAATCCAGAAGGAACCGAGCCAGTCCGGGAGCGACCCATTCCGGTATCTGGATCCAGACAGCACAACATAGCAGCTCAGCATGAACTTACCGTTACACGTCTACCCACCTAAACATGTAACTCATGTGAAGCCCCCTTTTTATAGAAAATTTTTGAAATTTACTGTTCATCGCCGGAAACATTGTTCACCGCCTTACTGTTCACGCCGGAAACACTGTTCAGGGCACTATTCATGCCGAAAAATACTGTGCACGCGTACTGTACACGTATGTGACGTCAGCCATGACGTCATGATGATGTCACTGATGACGTCAGCAGTCACTGTACATACGCAGTTTTTACTGTTCATACACGGTTTGTACGTGGTTTGCACTGTTCATAGGCAGTTTTACTATTCATCTGACACTGTTCATTTTTATTTTTTTTATTTTTTTTAAAATAATTTCAAACTCCATCTAAATCTATTCCAATACCAAATAATCCTTCAATTAACATTGAACAAGTATAAAATATTATAGATTACTCAATAATAAATCTCTAGCCTGACATTTAATGCCTTTAGCCGTTATGAAGAAGCTGGGAATTGAAGAGGTAAAGCCAACAGGGATAACACTTCAACTAGCAGATAGATCTTATACATATCCCTATGGAGTAGTGGAAGACCTCTTAGTCAAGGTGGACAAGTTTATATTCCCTACAGACTTTGTCATATTTGATATGGAGGTAGATGCGAATATCCCTCTCATATTAGGAAGGCCATTCTTAGCCATAGGGAGAGCCTTGATTGATGTGCAGAAAGGTGAATTAATGCTAAGAGTACAATAGGAGAAAGTCATTTTTAATGTATTTGAGGCCATCAAACATCCAAGTGATGATATAAGCTGCATGAAGATTGATGTAATAGATGTTGTAATACCACATTCTTTGAAAAAAAATGAGGAAAATGCAGTCTTGGAAAGCACATTAACTGCAAAAAAATGGAGTATTCATGAAGAGCAAGAGGAGGAAGTGAAAGACTGCATTCTGCAATTAGATTCTCTTTCCTGTATGACTAATGAAATAAACCAACTTAAGGAAGAACTACATCAAGAAGAGGAGAAGAAAGAAGAGCCCAAAGTGGAGCTTAAGCAAACTTGTAATAATAAACAACAATCTGAGAAAAGACTAAGAAGAAAAACTCTTAAGAGTGTTAAGAGAACACAAATCTGCACTAGGATGGTGGATTTCAGATCTGAAAGGTATAGATCCCTCTTTCTGCATGCATAGAATTTTATTTGAGGAAAATTGCAAGCCTGTTGTCCAACCTCAAAGAAGACTTAATCCAACTATGAAGGAGGTAGTGAGGCAAGAGGTGATGAAACTAATCGATGCAGGAGTTATTTATCCTATTTCGGATAGTTCATGGGTTAGTCCGGTTCATGTGGTGCCTAAGAAGGGAGGTATAACTGTTGTTCCAAATGAAAAAAAAATGAATTAATACCTACTAGGACATTAATCGGATGGCGAATGTGCATAGATTATAGGAAGTTGAATGATGCATCAAGAAAAGATCATTTTCCTCTTCCATTTGCTGATCAAATGCTAGAAAGATTGGCTGAGTTTGACTACTATTGTTTCCTAGATGGATATTTTGGTTACAACCAGATTGCAGTTGACCTAAGAGACCAAGAAAAGACAACATTCACTTGTCCTTTTGGAGTTTTTGCATATAGAAGAATGTCATTTGGGCTGTGCAATGCTCCAACTACATTCCAAAGGTGTATGTTGTCCATTTTTTCTGATATGATTGAAAGAATTATAGAGGTTTTTATGGATGATTTTTCTGTATTTGGTAATTCTTTTTATCAGTGTCTAGCTAATTTATCTCTTGTTTTGCAACGTTGTCAAGACTCAAATCTTGTGCTCAATTTGGAAAAGTGTCATTTTATGGTACAAGAAGGGTAGTCTTAGGACATAAGATTTTAGCAAGGGGAATGGAAGTGGATCCTGCAAAAGTAGAAGTAGTTGAGAAGCTGCCTCCACCTGTAAATGTTAGAGGAATAATAAGCTTTTTGGGACATGCTGGATTCTATCGCAGGTTCATTAAAGACTTTTCTAAAATTGCCAAGCCATTGAGTGAATTGTTGAGTAAGGATGTAGAATTTGTTTTTGATGATAAGTGCTTAGTAGCTTTTAATACTTTGAAAGAAAAATTAATTTCTACACCTGTACTTGTTAAACCAGATTGGGAATTACCTTTTGAACTGATGTGTGATGCTAGTGGTGTAGCTATAGGAGCAGTTTTAGGCCAAAGAAAAGACAAGAAACTGCATGTTATTCATTATGCTAGTAGAGTTCTTAACCCTGCACAAATTAATTACACTACTACTGAAAAAAGAACTCTTAGCTATAGTTTTTGCATTTGACAAGTTTTGGTCTTATTTAATAAGGTCCAAAGTTATAGTTTACACTAACCATGCTGCTCTTAAGTATCTTTTGTCAAAGCAGGATGCCAAGCCCAGATTATTAAGGTGGATTTTACTCCTTCAAGAATTCAAGTTGGAGATCAAAGACAAGAAAAGAAAGGAGAATGGAGTTGCTAACCACTTGTCAACATTACCACTTGAGGCAATACCGTTGGAAGTGGACCAAATAAAAGAAGAGTTTCCAGACGAGATCTTATTCAAGATTGAATCACAGCCCTAGTTTGCTGATATGGCCAATTTTAAAGCTACAAATCATGTTCCAAATTGGATAAGTTGGCAGTAGAGAAAGAAATTCTTCCATGATAGCAAATATTATGTGTGGGAAGATCCATTACTATTCAAAATTGGAATTGATGGGCTGCTGAGAAGGTGTATACCAGAGAAAGAGCAAGAAGATGTTTTGTGGCATTGTCATAGTTCAGAATATGGACAACATCATGGTAGTTCAAGGACAGCAGCCAAGGTCCTGCAATCTGGACTTTTCTGGCCCACATTGTTTAAGGATGCTAAGAAATATGTGGAAAGATGTGATAGATGCCAGAGAATGGGAAATATTTCCAGGAAACATGAGATGCCACTACAAAACATACTTGAGGTAGAGCTATTTGACATGTGGGGGATAGACTTCATAGGTCCTTTCCCTACTTCATTCTCGAATGAGTACATGTTAGTAGCAGTTGACTATGTGTCCAAATGGGTGGAAGCAATTCCTACCATATCCAATGATGCAAGGACTGTTATTTCATTCATCAAAAAGAACGTTTTCTCAAGATTTGGAGTGCCTAAAATTCTGATAAGTGATGGAGGAAGCCATTTCTGCAAAAATATCTAGAATCAGTCCAAGAGAAGTATGGAGTCAAGCATAGAATAGCTACACCTTATCACCCTCAAACAAGTGGTCAAGTGGAGGTTTCTAAAAGAGAAATAAAATAGATTTTGGAGAAGGTGGTGAGTAATTCAAGGAAGGACTGGTCCAAGAAAGTGGATGATGCTTTGTGGGCATATAGGACAGCCTGCAAAGCCTGCAAGACACCAATTGGGATGTCTCCTTATCAGCTAGTGTATGGGAAGGCCTGCCACTTACCAATGGAGCTAGAACATAAAGTCTTTTGGGCTGTAAAATGGTTGAATTTTTATCAAGTTGGTGCAGGAAACAAAAGACTGTTACAGCTGCATGAATTGGATAAGTTCATACTCAATGCATATGAAAATGCCAAAATATATAAGGAAAGGACCAAAAAGATGCATGACAAATTTATTCTGAAAAGGGATATCAAACCTAGGCAATCTGTGTTACTTTTCAATTCAAGGTTGAGATTGTTTCCAGGGAAGTTAAAATCTAAGTGGTCTGGACCTTTTGTGGTGAAAGAGGTATTTCTATATGGTGCTGTACTAATAGCAGATCCAAAGGATGGGAGAGAGTTCAAAGTGAATGGGCAGAGACTAAAA